GTGATGAGCCAAGGAAAAGAACTGTATATTAGAATAATATTAGAATATTGTTTTTAAAAAACCTGTGTATTAACTTCCAGATCTGCACTACACAACTACCGTGTTCCATATGCATTACTTAGAGATTCAAATTGCAATGTCATAATTTTTTTTTAAAGAAAACTAAATCAGAAGACAGTAATGCATCACACACTGCAATTGATTCAGAGGGTAACTAGTTGGAAGATACTTATCACACACAAATACTGCGAACTAAATTAAGCACAAATCCTAATTTCCAATGTTAGCATGCTTTTTCACAATGCCATCCACTTTGGAGCAATCTGCGCCTTAGCTAGTTACTTCCTCGACAGTGCAAATAAAGATAATGCTGTCTATGGGCTGACAGTGACTTGTTAAAACAATTGTTCTAGCATTTACTGGACCACATGCAGCTCCGAGAAGAAAAAACACATGGTGAATGTATTTCTGAGTTACCATCGGGATGAAGCCAATTAAGAAAACAAACAGGGAGTGACTACTGGAAGAACAATAACCTACAAAAATTTGCCTTGTAACCATAACTCTGGGGTCCTTTTTGTTTTGTTATTACTTAGAAAGTGTGTATATTTGAAAATGCACCAGTCAATGGCTCAGTTCAGACAATCACTTATAATGTTTTTCTTTGAGGAGGAAGTGAAATAGAATCAACCATGTTATTCCCTCTGAACATGAGATGCAGTGGTTTGTTCTAAATGAAAATTTTCAGTCGTGGTCTCGGATCATGGTTATTTAACCAGCTTTGGCTTCTGAATAGACAAAACTCCCTCCCCTCCTTCTATGAATACTGTAGCTTCTGCTTCGGTTGCATAAACAAATTTCCATAAATGGAGCCTTTACATCTAACTGCTCTGGATCCAAGACAAAGTAGTTCAATATCCATAATTTCTAAATTTCTTTATGGCATTTAACTGAAGGAATTGAAGTCACCTTCAAATGCTGTTAACATCTTTTGCAGAAAAAGCCATAGGAATTAATATTTTATGTGCAACTATGACTGCCATACCACGTGCAGAATCAGGACAGATAATGATCTAATAACTGGCACATACCAGTTCCAAGTCATATTCATTCTCATATAATGTTTTGCATAATTTAAAGCATTACCTACCCCTTAGATTTAATTTTCTAAGCTGTTCGTATACAGTCCTTTTGATTTTCTTGGCTGACCACCGTTAACCCACTGTGGAAAAAAGAAGTTAAAATTACCTGCTGGATATATCTGTCTGTGGTTTTCCACATGTAGTAATATTCAATGATGCTAGTCAAAGATTTCCAAGGTAGCTGAAAAACATTTTTTAAACCAAAAGAGAGGAAACAACCATTTAATTAAAATTTCAGATATACATTTTATTGATTTAAAACATGGGCACAAACAATTACCTCTTTTCCATCAAATAAATGAATCCATTAAAAATCTTTTCTCTGTTTCTAAAGTGTCATTGTACATTAATGACACAGAGAAAACCAATGAGAACCAGAAAAACTAATTAAAAGTTGTGTGCCTTTTTAGAGTAAAAATGCCAGAATCCCTCAGCAGGCATGGCCAGTAACTTTTCCAGCTCTGGTCACCCACTTGTGCCTCAGCAGTGACACACATTAGGCTGAAAAAGTACCCTAAGCCCTTGCAGCTCCCATGGAGTTTAGCTATGCTCACCCATATCCTACTTCTTCAAGCTTCATCAGCCTAATGGCCACTGTAAAGAAAGATTTGCCACGGCAAAAATGTGTGTACTGAAGCCTCTGAGAGGACTTGGGAGTTTTGGGCTACATCTATCAGAATTCTGGCTGGGAGACTAACGTGGGAAGATTTTGACATGATAAACCCATGTACCACCTTGCTCGTAACAGCATTTGATGGCAACAAATTTAAAAAGCATATAGGCAATGAAAGAACTCTGTAAGCCTTTTCTATGCTCCCTCTTATTCAATGGGGGCAAACAATTTGCTCTATTCACCTGTTTGCTTTATTACAGTCTCTCCCCGAGAGAGAGAAATAAATACTCTCTCTCTCTCTCTCTCTCTCTCTCTCTCTCTGTGTGTGTGTGTGTGTGTGTGTGTGTGCGTGTGTGTGTGTGTTATGGATAATACCAACAAGAAGATGTCACTGTGGAGGTATGTCTAAAAAGACTCCCAATTTTGCAGACAACCATAAACATTTTAAAACACAAAAGAAAGTGTATCTATCTACCAAACGGCATATATAATCTTCAAAGGGCAGTTGGCATTGTGATTCTGTAGACTTTAGTTATCTGAAGCAAACAAATGGGGAAATCCATTTCTAGAAGAAACAATATGTGTGAAAATTAACAAAAAAGGACTAAACAATATCAGAATTGTCTATGTAGTCTGCTTATTTGAAAAAAAGCATCAAAACCTGGCATCTTCTTGAAAGTTGGAAGCTTATATAATAGTAGAAAGCATTCTTTCTGAACGTGCCAGTTTTCTGTATCTCTTGCATTCAGCTTTCACTGAGAGATTTTGGTACAGAGTGTTTTTAAGCAAGCAATCCTCTTAATACATAACTGAAGTAATGTGACATCCCACACACTTTCCACATTGTTCCATTACACGCCCTTGATGTACAAGTAATCACAAAAGAGATGTGATCCTCTGTATCTGAGGGCTTAGTGAGTGTAAAGACAGAAGTATTAAGAGGAAGGCGTTAAAATGAGCCAGCTGCATCTCACTGCAAATCAATGCTTTCCTAGGTCCTTCATGCATTACTTTTTTGCAGGGACAAAACCTGCATAATAAAGGATACGTGGTCGTTGATGTTCCTCTTAGCCTTACAATCTATATTTTGGCATAGGGAAACATAGGCCTTTTGGGTTCTTTGGGTCCTGAAACCATGATAATGCAGGGTTCCAGGATCCAAACGTATCCCTATTACAGATGTTTACACTAATTTATGGACAGCAAGGCCAGGGCAAAGAGAAAGAACCACACATCATCAGGGATGTGGTTGATATTGTTCCTTCTTAGCTTCTACACACCAGGACTTTTCACACGAATGCCTAATAGCCAAATATGCACACTGTATATTGGGAGGAGCAATTGATCTGAAGGCTTTAGCTCTGGAACGTTCTGCATTTCTTTGGTGCAGGCATTCCACAATGAATGGTAGTATGTAGTAACAGATCTTCATTCAGAAGACTGAAGAAACTGGAGGGCTTCAGCAGCAATTGCAGATGCCATACCCAGGAAACCAGCAGGACCGAAAAATCATACATTTGTAGGATACGTTTTTTATCATGTGCTGCACTGTTAGATTAATCATTTATTTTCCTTCTAGTTATACTGCATCTCAAGAGAAAACGACAGGTTACCCACCTCTAATTGTAGTTCTTCGCGTGGACCTCTGTGATTCACCCAGGGTATAATTCACAGAGGCCACGAAGAAGAAGTAGGATTTTATTTATTGCACATTAGCAGAGTTCTCAGAAGTGATCTGGAGGGTCATGCTCAAATAAAGTAGCATGCTTTTATCTTGTTACCTTGAATATGCTTGATTCCAAACCATGTTTTAATCAAACAAGGATTAAATTATCTAAACTTTAATAATAGGAACAGGGTAGCTGGAGGGGAGGTTTTGTTCTTGTTCAGTTTTTTTTTTCAGTAACAGACTCTTGTTCTCAAACCTGGACGACTTCATGTCGATATCCTTTCTTTCTTTCCAAGAAAGGATATCCAAGGCTGCAAACTATGATAGTTAGTGAAACCTCACTGGGACAGTTGGAACCACACTGTATTCTGACAATGTTAGTATCCATCATGTTCAAAAAGAATGGAAACAAATAATGAACTGTCAAGGTCCCATGAGAGTCAAATGTTATTTTAAGAACACTATAAAGGTGTGTAAATCAACATTTATTTAGAAGAAGGAAGAATTCTTAACTGATTTTGTTGGATAGAAACTGCTAAATGGAAAAATCTCTAATTTCCTTCACAGAATACTTTTCTCTTGTGAAGTATCTGCATTTAGATAGTCCACATTACTGGGAGAAAAATCCTAGAACTGGGTAACACTTTATGAGGAAGAAAAGAATCTGCTTTTAATCCTTAGTTGTGAGGATTGAGGAGCTACTGCTACAGATAACAAATTCTAAGTAAAGTGCTACAGATAACTAATTTGACTACATATAGAAACAACTGCATGGCGGATGATAAAAAAGAATATAGTAAAAATATAATTAAAGGGGGAAGTTATTTCTACTTACAAAGTCCTGACGTATATCATTGAAGTCTTTGCCATATTTCTCCAGGGCTTCCTCAAACAAACTAGCCTCTGAAGCCGACCATTCTTCCATTTCATCTCTACAGAGCACAGGACCACCAAGTGGAACCAGGACACTAATAGCACTGCTCAAATCATAGTTATGCTTATGCAATGTATCCATTGCATGAAACTAAGAAGAACAAGAAATCTTTAATTAAACAAGAGTCAATAAACAAGTCAATAATTTATTACACCTGATCTCCCATTTTGAAAAAAACTGGCATGTGCTTTTAAAAATTCCCATTCATTGACCTTAACTGTGCAAATGTTCATGCTCTTCTTCCCCCTTCTCAGAGGTGAAGAAACTTTTGGCCTCTCAGGTGTTGCTAGACTACAGTCCCTATATCTTCTCACCAATTATACTAGCTGGATAGAGTCCAATAGAATCTGGATGACCACATGTGAACCAGCTCCATTTTAGTTGAACAAAAGAGATTCATACTCATTCTCTTTCCACCTTTCTGCTACCAACAGTCTATTTGTAAATCACTTAAAGGGAAAAACTGGGACATAATAAAATAGGATGTTAATGACTAATGTGCTGGCACAAGAACATGTGCACTCCTGGTTCTCTCTGGTGTGTAAATTAAGCAGGAATGGGATGACTTTCTGTGCCAGACAACCTCAGGATGATGGTTCGATGTGTCCAAACAAGCAAAGCTTCATAAATCAACAACAAACCCTGAGCTACCAATGATGTATATTTGTGGCTTTTTATTGTACACCAAACTATAATTACAACTTTGGACATCACAAAAAAAAAAAGGAATCCCCTTTTACCCGATGGGGGAAAAGAATGAAGAAAGAGACTACATGCCACAGCAAACTGCTTGTCCAAATCATAACAAAGGGACAATTTTCATCTTATAGTGGTGTGCAGATGAGGCCCCGTATTTGCTAGGGAGATGTGCAAATTTGTGTTTTTGGACTATGTATTTGCTAGGGAACAGTGCACTAGAGATGTGCAAATTTGTGTTTTTGGACTATGATGCCCAGAACACCTCAGGCAGTGTATTGAAAATAAATGCATAGGATAGGGATAGGATACACTGCTGCCACTCCTACATATTGAGCAGGTCTTCTGCAAACATTCTGTCTGGATATCCACACTAAATAGATCAAGCACTGCATGGAAGGCTTGGTCAATATGCAGTCCAGAGCAGCAGGCATTATTCTTCTCTGAGTCGTATTGATTGCTCCAGGATTCTAACTTGTCCACAAAAGGATACAGAAACTTCTTTATGAATCTTTCAACCTAGGACTTTCTCCTTATAACTGAAAGATACAGAAGCCTACCACTTGTACTTAATTTTCAAAAATATTACTAGAAAAAGACATTTGGGAACGAGGGAGAAAAAGCACCTCATTAATATATATGAAAAAGCCCAAAAGGAGGGTTGATGTCTAACAGCCCATTACTTCTAGGATTGCAATGAAATATACCAAAACACTCCTCAAAATGCCAACTCCAAGTATATTCACCAATTAAAAGTGAAGTCCTATTATGAAAAGGAAATACGTCCTCATTTTTAACAAAAAAGAGAACAAAAAAGAGAACTGAAGTTCTAAATAAGGCCAAGAAAGCAGACAAAATGTGTGGAAGCGAATGACTATGAATCCAGAGCAGCAATTAAATCTTTTCTGGCTTTTCTACTGTCTCATTAGAAGATGAACCTTCCATTAAACAGAATTAAATTAACCATTAGAAAGTATAAAATGTCTGTTCAGATACTAAAATAATAAATGTGTCAGTTAGAGAAGCTAATGTGTGTTTTTGTGAAAGAAAGAAAACACTTTTACCATGGGGAGAAAGTATAGCCCTGGATCACACAAATGTCATGATATATTTCATATTTATTTATTTATCCTCCAATATTCACTTTGCAATATTCTTCCCTAGTCATCCCATCCCCAACATTATCATTACACTAGCCCTGATTGGTAAGTTAGACTGGAAAAGAATGAAAATTCAGCATATTTCACAAAAGAATAGGGATTTAAATATGGGTCTCCTCAATTCTGTTCTGATGCACTGCACTGGCTCTTAGTATACATGCTAACGAACTTTCAGATGGAACTACTTCTAAATCTTTCTGAGAATTAGGCTATATGTTACTGATAGCCTATTATTGGAAGAAGTGATTCCCTAAGTGATGAAAGGTATCTAATTTTCATAGCTCACTCTTGTAGTTTTCCAACTAGTTTATTTAATTTTGTGATTGGTCACTGAGAAAGGGTTTCATTTGTAAACATGGTTGCTTAGACATTGCGTTCTGATAGAAACACACCTCTAGAACATTAATGAGATTTCAGTTCTTAATGATTTGTTACATACAGATCAAAATCTCTTGGTCTTTGTAAGCCAGATCATAACATTCACTCTGTTCCTCCCTGGCAAACAAAGCACAGTGGTCATGATTTTTGGGTCTGTGCATTCTGGCTTGGTTCACACCCTGGTAGTAACAGACCAAACTAACATGCAATTTGGTACGGTAAGCAACAGGATTTTGACTATTGCTTAACTCTCAATGCTAGTTCAGATTTCCCCCTTTTTGCCTCCTTGCCCCTTCAAAAGAACAAAAAGCTACTTAGCAATTTGGTTTGAGCAAAAGCTGGATTTTGGTAGCCCTTCCCTTTTTAAGAAGCTTAGAAAAGTACCAAAACCATTTATCAGCATGTCCCTCAAACCATATATAATCTACAGGACAGACATCAGATGATTTGGCCTCTTAAACCCCAACCATTTATTTTAATGCACACACAAAAAAACTACCAGTATTTCTAGGAAACTTCTTACCAAAGTGATGTCACGGGAAGCTGCAGCAGCACTCATGTGTAAGCTAGGCTGACGGACAGAACTACTGCAGTCAAGAGCTCGGGCAAAAGTGCCAACCGCACTGAGGAAGGAAGAAAAACATACATCTGCATCAAGAAATGCTATAATACCCATGAAAGCTAGTCGTCTTGATCCTGGTGGTGGTGATCCATTGGCAATTTTGACTATTAGGGACCCTTGTCCCCGAGGCTCCCAAAGGCCTCCCCCAGGGCAAAAGGAAGCCCCATGCCCAGACACTTGGGTGGCCAGTTTGTGATGCTTGACAGGGACAGGTCAACTGAAAAAAGGTAGATCAGGCCTCCAGGACCACCTGGGTCAACCTATTCTGCACCTGGGTGTCTGCAAGAACTGCCAGTCTATTTGTTCCACACTGGCAGTAGACTGGGCCTCCAGAACTCCTAGCATAAGGTATAATGCTGAACTACCTTGTTTAGTACCGATTCAGTTAGCACTCCATTTTCTTAGAATGCATCATGAGCACAAAGCAGGATATTAGTATACATGCTTACCTAGGGGTAACCTCACCAAACCAAACTTGAGCCAAAATGCACAGGGCTGTGTGAAGTTAATCTGCACTGCAAAGTATCTTTACATATCGATTCCATACTTGACATATGGATGTAAGAATGCAGAGGAAAGGGAAATATGAGAAGATACTGGAACACAAGGCAGATATTGGTTAACTATTAAAAATCTATTGACTCATATATTTCTTACTTCAGTCTCTTCGTTTCTTATCATTCTTTGGTTTCTCCACCTGTCTTTCTTTCTTTCTTTCTCCTGGCTAGTGTAGAATTCTCCTCTTTCCCTGTGGGTGTGATGACTATTAAGTCATGTTCTTCTATTCTTTTGTTTTGTGCCTTTTTTAGATGGTGAGCCTACTGGCAAGTACTTGTGTTGTTCTATTTCTGTGCACCACCTAGTGCATATTAGGCACTTCTATAAATAATTCCACGAACAAGGCATGATAATAGAGAAGGCCCTCTCCCTGACTGTCATCTGTCTCACACAAAGGCACCCAGAACAGCCTCCAAATGAGATCTTAGCAAATGGCACAGGGGCAGGAGGATGCGGTAGAAGATATTGGTTTTAGATACCAAAGACTTACAAAATGTGAATGCCAGCACTCCGAACTGTGGAACTATCTAAGATGTCTTAAAGCCGTGGTTCTTAACGTGGTCGATAATGCCCTCCAGGGGGCAATTTCATTTTTCAGGGGGGCGGTAGAACGAAAAGGGGTGGCATGGGGGCAGTGGAACAAAAGGAGGGCGGTAGGGGGGCGCTGGAGCGAGTCAAACCTATGAAGGCAGCTGCAGCCGCAGTGCTGGCAGTGGATCCAGTGGTGCCAATGCCAGATGATCCAGCTCTTTCTGCCTGCCACGTCTCACCTTTCTCCCTTAGGGGAGCACCGAGTGTGGATTGGGTGGAAGGAAAGGGTCTCTCGGGTCCCCGTCCTCCCCCAGTGAAGTGCTGCCTTGCCCCTGGGTGAGGAGGGGGAGACAAGCCCCATTTGTCCATCCTGCCTTCCCGCCCACCTTCCCACCTGTTGTAAGGGGAGTGC